GTATGGAAGGATAATGTAAGGTGTATATGTTTGTCAGTTGTCAGGTATCATCTGACCTTGACCTTATTTTCATGGTTCATTGGTCAATGTTAAGTTTTCATGGTTAAGTTTGTTTCTTAGATACAATAAGCAATAGGTCAACTATGTTTGCTTTATTGAATGATTGTAAGGTGTACATGTATTTCTCGTTTGGTTTATCTGACCTTGACCTCATTTTACTTGGATCATGTTAAGTTTATGTGTTACTTGTAGTAAAGCTTTGTATTTAGGACTATCAACATAAAATCAATGGTTAGTAAAGAAGGCGAGACATTTCAGCATGTGCACTCTTGTTGTGTTTTGGTCTGTTTTCTTAAACTATAACCAATAGGTCAACTATATTTGTTGTATGGAATGATTGTTAGGTGTATATGTCTCTCTGGCAGGTTTTATCTGACCTTGACCTCATTTTCATGGGTCATTGGTCAATGTTAAGTTTGTTATGCCCACGCCGTAGCGGAGGGGGCATTAAGTTTTACCATTGTCTGTCTGTACGTATGTCTGTACGTCCATCCGTCCGTACGTCCCAAAATTGGTTTCCGTTCTCTAACTTTAGTTTGCCTCAACCAAATGTTATGAAACTTATACACAATGCTTATTACCACATAACACAGATCAAGTTTCAATTTTGGTGGCGTCACTTTAACCGTTCTAGAGTTATGCCCCTTTACAAATGGAAACGTTCTCTAACTTTAGTTTGACTCAACCAAATATTATGAAACTTATACACACTGCTTATTACCACAAAACACAGATGAAGTTTGAATTTTGGTGGCATCACTTTTACCGTTCTAGAGTTCCCTTTACAAATGGAAAAATTGCTTTTCTCATCACTTGGCGTTCGTCGTTTGCGTCCATCTTCGTCGTCGTCTGTCGTCGTTAGCTTTTTACAAAAATCTTCTGCTCTGAAACCACTGGGCCACCAAATTTGGCCAAAATCATCATTAGGGTATCTAGTTTAAAAAATGTGTCCGATGACCCTGCCAACCAGCAAAGATGGCAGCCATGGCTAGAAATAGAACATAGGGGTAAAATGTAGATTTTGGCTTTTATCTCTGAAAACAAAGCATTTAGAGTAAATCTGACACATGGTAAAACTGATTATCACATGAAGATCTATCTGTCCTGAAATTTTCAGACAAATCTGACAACCTGTTGTTGGGTTGCTGCCCCTGAATTGGTAATTTAAGGAAATTTTGCAGTTTTTGGTTATCATCTTGAATATTATAGATAGAGATAAACTGTAAACAGCAATAATGTCCAGCAAAGTAAGATCTACAAATAAGTCGTCATGACAAAAATTGTCAGTTGACCTCTTTAGGAGTTATTGCCCTTTATAGTCAATTTGTTGTAAATTTTTGTAATCTTTTACAAAAATCTTCTCTGAAACTACTGAGACAAAGTTAACCATACTTGGCCATAATCATTATTAGGGTATCTAGTTTGAAAAATTTGTCCGAATACCCCACCTTCCAACCATCATGGCTAACTTGGTTAAAAATAAAATATAGGGGTAAAATGCAGTTTTTGGTTTATATCTCTGAAACTAAAGCATTTAGAGCAAATCTGACAGGTGGCAAAAATGTTCATCAGATTGAGATTTATCTGCCCTGAAATTTTCAGGCGAATCCTACAACCTGTTGTTGGGTTGCTGCCCCTGAGTTAGTAATTTTACAGAAATTTTGCAGTTTTTAGCTCACCTGGCCCAAAGGGCCAAGTGAGCTTTTCTCATCACTTGGCGTCCGGCGTCTGGCGTCCATAGTCCGTTAACTTTTACAAAAATCTTAATTCTCCTCTGAAACTACTGAGCCAAATTTAACCAAACTTGGCCACAATCATCATTGGGGTATCTAGTTTAAAAATGTGTCCGGTGACCCAGCCAACCAACCATGATGGCCACCATGGCTAAATATAGAACATAGGGGTAAAATGTAGATTTTGGCTTATATCTCTGAAACCAAAGCATTTAGAGCAAATCTGACATGGGGTAATATTGTTTATCAGGTCAAGATCCATATGCCCTGAAATTTTGAGATGAATGGGACAACTTGTTATTGGGTTGCTGCCCCTGAATAGGTAATTTTAAGGAAATTTTGCAGTTTTTATACGACCGCAAAAAAATTTTTGTGGTCGTATATTGGTATGACGTTGGCGTCGTCGTCGTCGTACGAAGACACATTAGTTTTCGCACTCTAACTTTAGTTTAAGTGAATGGATCTCAATGAAATTTTACCATAAGGTTCAATACCACAAAAGGAAGGTGGGGATTGATTTTGGGGGTTATGGTACCAACTGTTAAGGAATTAGGGGCCAAAAAGGGGCCAAAAGTAAGCATTTTTCTAGTTTCATGACAATAACTTGGTGTGTAAGTCTATGGATCTCTCTGACATTGTATCACAAGGTTCCATATCACAAAGGGAATGCTGGGATTGATTTTGGAGGTAATTGCCTCCAAATTTTAGGAATTAGGGGCCAAAAAGGGGCAAAAAACAAGCATTCTTCTATTTTCATGACAATAACTTGTGTGTAAGTGTATGGATCTTTATGAAATTGTACTACAAGGTTCCATATCACAAAGGGAAAGCTGGAATTGAGTTTGGGGATAATTGCCCAAAAAGCTTAGGAAAAAGGGACCAACAAGGGGCCAAAAATAAGCATTTTTCTAGTTTCCAGACAATAACTTGTGTTCAAGTGTATGGATCTCTCTGAAATTATACTGCAAGGTACCATACCACAAAGGGAAGGCTGGGATTGATTTTGGGGGTAATTCCCTCAAAATTTTAGTAATTAGGGGCCATAAAAGGGCAAAAAAACAAGCATTTTTCTAGTTTCAGGACAATAACTTGTATGTAAGTGTATGGATCTTTATGAAAGTGTACTGCAAGGTTCCATATCACAAAGGGAAAGCTGGGTTTGAGTTTGAGGGTAATTGCCCTAAACGTTTAGGAATTTGGGGCCAAAAAGGGGCCAAAAAACAAGCATTTTTCTAGTTTCCAGACAATAACTTGTGTTCAAGTGTATTGATCTCTCTGAAATTGTACTGCAAGGTACCATACCACAAAGGGAAGGCTGGGATTAAGTTTGGGGGTGATGAATCATAAGGGGGTTCAAAAAAATTGGGGGGTGGGGGGATTTATTTTTCCTTTTTATTTTTCTTTAAAATTTTCCATTTTAAATTGGTTTTTTCTGATTTATATATAAAAACAAATAATACTGATATGGTTTGAATAGGTAAATTAAAATATTTTAAGTTCTTAGACCACTTTCATTCTGTGCCAGAAACCTATGCTGTGTCAAATATTTAATTACAATCCAAATTCAGTGCTGTATCAAGCTTGAATGTTGTGTCCATACTTGCCCCAACTGTTCAGGGTTCGACCTCTGCGGTCGTATCAAGCTGCGCCCCAGCGGAGCATTTTATTGGTTATTATCTTGAATATTATTATAGATAGAGATAAACTGTAAACAGCAATAATGTCCAGCAAAGTAAGATCTACAAATAAGTCATCATGACCAAAATTGTCAGTTGACCCCTTTAGGAGTTATTGCCCTTTATAGTCAATTTTTCGTAAATTTTTGTTGTCTTTTACAAAAATCTTCTTCTCTGAAACTACTGAGACAAATTTAACCATACTTGGCCATAATCATTATTAGGGTATCTAGTTTGAAAAATTTGTCCGATGACCCCACCTGCCAACCATCATGGCTGACTTGGTTAAAAATAGAACATAGGGGTAAAATGCAGTTTTTGGTTTATATCTCTGAAACTAAAGCATTTAGAGCAAATCTCACAGGTGACAAAAATGTTCATCAGATTGAGATTTATCTGCCTTCAAATTTTCAGACGAATCCGACAAACCGTTGTTGGGTTGCTGCCCTGAGTAAGTAATTTTACAGAAATTTTGCAGTTTTTTGTTATCTTAGGTATCATTATAATATCTAATATCTAATACTATTAATTATGATTTTAACCTTATTTTACATGATTTCCAAAGCATCAGTAAATACAGGTGAGCAACACAGGCTCTTGAGAGCCTCTAGTTTCAGTCAAATTTGTCAACTGTCTACCTAATATTATACAATAATAAAATGAGTACTTGTGGCATGATTGCCAATGAGATAACTTTGTACCAGAGACCAAAGGGCAGGTGGATGAGTACTGAAAATTGTCTCTTGTCCTCGACATCAGGAATACTGATATAAGCATTTTTTATCGTAAAATACTTACTTACAGATTGTGGTTTGAAAGTATATTTCTTTCCTAGTAGAAATTTATATCCATTTCTAGTACATTTCTAACAAACTTTTGGTACATTGTAAGTCTCCGTTCACTTTATTTTTAATGTTTTGCAGCTAAAAGTATTATTTCAAATTGGACAGTGTTCAGCAGCAAGTATTACAATGTGATTTGGATGAGATTAAAAGATATATATCTTGAGGCACATACTGACCCATAGAATAAAGAGAAGAAGGAAAGACAGTGAAAAACAGGAAATATTTGAAAGGGTAAACATTTATTTTTCAAAAAAAAAAACTGATTATGGTCTTCTTAAATTTCATTACTGTGATAAAGATTTATGTTAATTTCCATCAGGAAATTGGTATACCTTATTTCATATTAATTGGTACAAAATATGCTTTACAACCAAATATAGTGTATAAAAATAAAGAAATATTGTGTTTTAAGTAAACAATATAAAAAAATATCCTGTTCTGCAATTGAGTAAAAAGAACCATTTCATTGAAGGAACTGGGATGTATAAGTAATCTCCCACACATTGCGCTTACTAAGATTTGATTTCATTCAAATTTGTCAACTGTCTACCTAATATTTTACAATAATAAAATGGGTACATGTGGCATGATTGCCAATGAGATAACTTTGTACCAGAGACGAAAGGCAAGTGGATGAGTACTGAAAATTGTCTCTTGTCCTCTACATCAGGAATACTTATATAGGCATTTTTATACGACCGCAAAAAAATTTTTGTGGTCGTATATTGGTATGACGTCGTCGTCCGAAGACACATTGGTTTTCGCACTCTAACTTTAGTTTAAGTGAATGGATCTCTATGAAATTTTACCACAAGGTTCAATACCACTAAAGGAAGGTTGGGATTGATTTTGGGGGTTATGGTACCAACAGTAAAGGAATTAGGGGCCAAAAAGGGGCCAAAAATAAGCATTTTTGTAACTTCCAGACATAACTTGTGTGTTAGTGTATGGATCTCTCTGACATTGTACCACAAGGTTCCTTATCACAAAAGGAATGCTGGGATTGATTTTGGGGGTAATTGCCTCAAAATTTTAGGAATTAGGGGCCAAAAAAGGGGCAATAAAAAAAAGCATTTTTCTAGTTTCATGACAATAACTTGTGTGTAAGTGTATGGATCTTTCTGAAATTGTACTACAAGGTTCCATATCACAAAGGGAAAGCTGGAATTGTGTTTGGGGGTAATTGCCGAAACGTTTAGGAATTTGGGGCCAAAAAGGGGCCAAAAATAAGCATTTTTCTAGTTTCCAGACAATAACTTGTGTTCAAGTGTATGTATCTCTCTGAAATTGTACTGCAAGGTACCATACCACAAAGGGAAGGCTGGGATTGATGATGGGGGTAATTGCCTCAATATTTTATGAATTAAGGGCCAAAAAGGGGCAAAAAACAAGCATTTTTCTAGTTGCAGGACAATAACTTGTGTGTAAGTGTATGGATCTTTCTGAAATTGTACTACAAGGTTCCATATCACAAAGGGAAAGCTGGGTTTGAGTTTGGGGGTAATTGCCCTAAACGTTTAGGAATTTTGGGCCAAAAAGGGGCCAAAAAACACATTTGTCTAGTTTCCAGACAATAACTTGTGTTCAAGTGTATGGATCCCTCTGAAATTGTACTGCAAGGTACCATACCACAAAGGGAAGGCTTGGATGAATCATAAGGGGGTTCAAAAAATTTTGGGGGGGATTTTTTTTTCATTTGTTTCTTTTTTTCCTTTTTTTTTTCTTTTTAAATTTTCCATTTTAAGTTGGTTATTTCTGATTTATATTTAAAAGCAAATAATCATGATATGGTAGGAGATACACACCAAACAGGATGTGTAAATTATTATATAATAAGTATTGTGCAATAGCAAGAAATTTTCAATTGCACAGTATTGCACAATAGCAAGAAATGTTCAATTGCACAGTATTGCGCAATAGCAAGAAATCTTCAATTGCACAATATTGCGCAATAGCAAGAAATATCCAATAGCACAATATTGCGCAATAGCAAGAAATTGTCAATTGTACAGTATTGCGCAATAGCAAGAAATATTTAATTGCACAGTATTGTGCAAAAGAAGATACTTCGTATAAATTGCTTATTTCTTGACCAATTTCAATGGGGTTTTATTCTTGAATTCTTGGGGTTCTTTAATATGCTGAATCTAACTGTGTATTTAGTTTGTGGATTTTGGGCCCTGTTTTTAAATTGGTCCACATTGAGTTCCAAAGGGTCTAAAATTAAACTTTGTTTGATTTCGTCAAAAAATTGAATTATTGGGGTTCTTTGATATGCCGAATCTAACCGTGTATTTAGATTCTTAATTTTTGGTTCCGTTTTCAAATTGGTCTACATTAAGGTCCAAAGGGTCCAAAATTAAACTTAGTTTGATTTTAACAAAAATTGAATTCTTAGGGTTCTTTGATATGCTGAATCTAAACATGTATTTAGATTTTTGATTATGGGCCCAGTTTTCAAGTTGGTCCAAATGGGGGTCTAAAATTAAACTTTGTTTGATTTCAACAAAAATTGAATATATGGGGTTCTTTGATATGCTGAATCTAACCATGTATTTAGATTTTTGATTTTTGGGCCCCGTTATCAACTTTGTCCACATTGAGGTCAAAAGGGTCCAAAATTAAACTTTGTTTGATTTCATCAAAAATTGAATTCTTGGGGTTCTTTGATATGCTGAATCTAACCATGTATTTAGATTTTGGATATTGGACCATAATAGGTGAATGTCCAATTTAAAATTTTCAAGTTCTTAGACCACATTCATTCTGTGTCAGAAACCTATGCTGTGTCAAATATTTAATCACAATCCAAATGCAAAGCTGTATCAAGCTTGAATGTTGTGTCCATACTTGCCCCAACTGTTCAGGGTTCGACCTCTGTGGTCGTATCAAGCTGCACCCTGCGGAGCATTTTATTTATCGTAAAATACTTACTTACGGATTGTGGTTTGAAAGTATATTTCTTTCCTAGTAGAAATTTATATCCATTTCTAGTACCTTTCTAACAAACTTTTGATAAGTCTCCATTCACTTTATTTTTAATGTGTTGCAGCCAGAGTTATTTTTTCAAATTGGACAGTGTTCAGCCACAAGTATTACAATATGATTTGGATGGAACAAAAGCAATGCAAATATCATGATGCACATACTGACCCATAGAATAAAGAGAAAGAAAGATAGTGAAAAACAGGAAATATTTGAAAGGGTAAACATTTATTTTTTTAATCTAATAGACTGATTATGACCTTATTAGATTTCATTACTGTGATAAAGATTTATGTTAATTTCCATCAGGAAATTGGTATACCTTATTTCATATAAATAGGTACAAAATTTGCTGTACAACCAAATATAGTGTATAAAATTTCAGAAAAATTGCATTTTAAGTAAACAATGTAAAAAAATATCATGTTCTGCAATTGAGTAAAATTTTAAGATTCATTTCATATAAGGAACTGGGATGTTTAAGGAATCTCCCACACATTGCACTTACTAAGATTTTATTTCATTCAAATTTGTCAACTGTCTACCTAATATTTTACAATAATAAAATGAGTACTTGTGGCATGATTGCCAATGAGATAACTTTGTACCAGAGACCAAAGGGCAAGTGGATGAGTACTGAAAATTGTCTCTTGTCCTCTACATCAGGAATACTTATATAGGCATTTTTTATCGTTAGATACTTACTTACGGATTGTGGTTTAAAGTATATTTCTTTCCTAGTAGAAATTTATATCCATTTCTAGTACCTTTCTAACAAACTTTTGATAAGTCTTCATTCACTTTATTTTTAATGTTGCAGCTAGAGTTATTATTTCAAATTGGACAGTGTTCAGCCGCAAGTATTACAATGTGATTTGGATGAGATCAAAAGCAATGCAAATATCATGATGCACATACTGACCCATAGAATAAAGAGAAAGAAAGATAGTGAAAAACAGGAAATATTTGAAAGGGTAAACATTTCTTTTTTTAATCTAATAGACTGATTATGACCTAATTAGATTTCATTACTGTGATAAAGATTTATGTTAATTTTATCATCAGGAAATTGGTATACTGTAAATTCAGAAATTATTGCGATGTTTTTATTATTGCGAAAAATGCGACAGGGTTATAATCGCAATAATTTAAACTCGCATTTTAAAACTTTGTACATGAATTAAACAGGATTTTTCACAATATCGCAAAAATTAAAATCGCATTTTAGTCTAAAATGACAAAATCGCAATAATAAATGCACGCAATAATTTCTTAATTTACAGTACCTTATTTCATATTAATTGGTACAAAAATATGCTTTCATTACTGTGATAAAGATTTATGTTAATTTTATCATCAGGAAATTGGTATACCTTATTTCATATTAATTGGTACAAAAATATGCTGTACAACCAAATATAGTGTATAAAATTTCACAAAAATTGTGTTTAAGTAAACAATGTAAAAAATATCCTGTTCTGCAATTGAGTAAAGAGTCATTTCATATAAGGAACTGGGATGTATAAGTACTCTCCCACACATTGTGCTTACTAAAATTTAATTTCATTCAAATTTTTCAACTGTCTACCAAATATTTTACAATAATAAAATGAGTACTTGTTGCATGATTGCCAATGAGATAACTTTGTAGCAGAGACCAAAGGGCAAGTGGATGAGTACTGAAAATTGTCTCTTGTCCTCGACATCAGGAATACTGATATAAGCATTTTTTATCATAAAATTCTTACTTACAGATTGTGGTTTGAATGTATATTTCTTTCCTATTAAAAATTTATATCAATTTCTAGTACCTTTCTAACAAGTTTTTGATATGTCTCCATTCATTTTATTTTTATACGACCGCAAAAATTAAAAAATTTTTGGTCGTATATTGGTATGACGTTGGCGTTGTCGTCGTCCGAAGACACATTGGTTTTCGCAATCTAACTTTAGTTTAAGTCAATGGATCTCCATGAAATTTTACCATAAGGTTCAATACCACAAAAGGAAGGTTGGGATTGATTTTGGGGGTTATGGTACCAACAGTTAAGGAATTAAGGGCCAAAAAGGGGCCAAAAATAAGCATTTTTGTAACTTCCAGACATGACTTGTGTGTTAGTGTATGGATCTCTCTGACATTGTACCACAAGGTTCCATATCACAAACGGAATGCTGGGATTGATTTTGGGGGTAATTGTCGCAAAATTTTAGGAATTAGGGGCCAAAAAAGGGGCAAAAAACAAGCATTTTTCTAGTTTCTTGATAATAACTTGTGTGTAAGTATATGGATTTTTCTGAAATTGTACTATAAGGTTCCATATCACAAAGGGAAAGCTGGAATTGAGTTTGGGGGTAATTGCCCAAAACGTTTAGGAATAAGGGGCCAAAAAGGGGCCAAAAATAGCATTTTTCTAGTTTCCAGACAATAACTTGTGTTCAAGTGTATGGATCTCTCTGAAATTGTACTGCAAGGTACCATACCACAAAGGGAATGCTGGGATTGATTTTGGGGGTAATTGCCTCAAAATTTTAGGAATTAGGGGCCAAAAAGGGGCAAAAAAACAAGCATTTTTCTAGTTTCAGGACAATAACTTGTGTGTAGGTGTATGGATCTTTATGAAATTGTACTACAAGGTTCCATATCACAAAAGGAAAGCTGGGTTTGAGTTTGGGGGTAATTGCCCTTAACGTTTTGGAATTTGGGGCCAAAAAGGGGCCTAACAACAAGCATTTTTCTAGTTTCCAGACAATAACTTGTGTTCAAGTGTATGGATCTCTCTGAAATTGTACTGCAAGGTACCATATATACCACAAAGGGAAGGCTGGGATTGAGTTTGGGGGTAATTGCCTCAAAATTTTAGGAATTAGTGGCCAAAAAGGGGCAAAAAACAAGCATTTTTCTAGTTTCAGGACAATAACTTGTGTGTAAGTGTATGGATCTTTATGAAATTGTACTACAACGTTCCATATCACAAAAGGAAAGCTGGGTTTGAGTTTTGGGGTAATTGCTCTAAACGTTTAGGAATTTGGGGCCAAAAAGGGGCCTAAAAACAAACATTTTTCTAGTTTCCAGACAATAACTTGTGTTCAAGTGTATGGATCTCTCTGAAATTGTACTGCAAGGTACCATACCACAAAGGGAAGGCTGGGATTGAGTTTGGGGGTGATGAATCATAAGGGGGTTCAAAAAATTTAGTGGAGGGATTTTTTTTTTCTTTAAAATTTTCCATTTTAAATTGGTTATTTCTGATTTATATATAAAAGCAAATAATAATGATATGGTTTGAATAGGTAAATTAAAAATTTTTAAGTTCTTAGACCACATTCATTCTGTGTCAGAAACCTATGCTGTGTCAAGTATTTAATCACAATCCAAATTCAGTGCTGTATCAAGCTTGAATGTTGTGTCCATACTTGCCCCAACTGTTCAGGGTTCGACCTCTGTGGTCGTATCAAGCTGCGCCCCAGCGGAGCATTTTATTAATGTTTTGCAGCTAGAGTTATTATTTCAAATTGTGAAAAAGGCAGATATTCAGTGTGAATTTTTGCCAAGAAAGACCAACAGGTTTGTAGGTTATTATGAATAGAATTGAGAATGGAAATTGGGAAATGGTCAAAGAGCAGAAAACAGTGCAAGGCCACCAATGGGTCTTCAACACGGCGATAAAATTCTGCACTTGGAGGTGGGCTTCAACTGGCCCCTAGACAAAAATGTGTACCAGTTCGTGAAAATTGATGTCACACTTAACTATAAAACATTAAAATGAATTAAAATTAAAAACCGTACAAGACTAACAAAGTCCGGAGGCTCCTGACTTGGGACAGGCGCAAAATTACACTGGTATGAAACATGTTTAGTGAGATCTTAACCCTCCTCCTATACCTCTAGCCAATGTAGAATTAACAAACCCTTGCCAATATGCACAGTAAAACTCAAAGAAGTCTGAGTCCGATGTCAAAATAGGTAACAAAAGAAACTAAACACTCGACTCCAATCTTAATTGACTAGGATTGTCAGTTTTCCTATCCACGGTCGGTGGTTTTCTCCGGGCACTCTGGCTTCCTCCACCAATAAAAACTGGCCGCCACGAAATAGCCCAAAAGCGGTGCTTAAAAGTGGCATTAAAACACCAAAAATTTAAAAAAAATCAAATATATCAAATTTAGTATAATTATATTATTTGTTATACCCCACTTAGGGGTATTATGTTTTTCGGTCTGTGCATCCATTCGTTCATCCATCCGTCTGTTTGTTCGTTCATCCGTCTGTCCCGCTTCAGGTTGAAGTTTTTGGTGAAGGTAGTTTTTGATGAAGTTGAAGTCCAATCAACTTGAAACTTAGTACATATGTTCCCTATGATATGATCTTTCTAATTTTAGTGCCAAATTAGAGTTTTTACCCCAATTTCACGGTCCACTGAACATAGAAAATGATAGTGCGGGTGGGTCATCCGTGTACTATGGACACATTCATGTTTTTCATAAAATATAGCCTTGTTTTTTTTTAATCAGTAAATATGGAACATGAACTCATTGTTGATGAAAAGATACATAAATGTAGTCATGAAGAAAAATGATTTAGTTCGCCAATGGTGAGAATTTTTCTTGGCAATCTATCAGAGGGAACATTGTAAAAGTTTTCTTGGCTTCATTGAAAGGGTATAATCAGTTACTGTTGATTCATTCAAGATCGTGGGATACCAATTTTCGTGGATTTCGTGGGTACAGGGCAACCATGAATTTCTATGTTCAACGAACTACAAATATTCTATAGGAATGATTGCAGACTTTGACAAAACCACGAAATAAAATATCAACGAAAATGCGAGTTTTCCTTAAACCACGAAAATTGGTACCCATGAAAATAAATTAATTCACAGTATGCATAAGTAACAGATAACTTCAATCAATTGCATGTAGACACTCAGGTCCAGACATGTATTGGTCTTGTTAATGGTCTGACACCTGAGTTTTTATGTTTCATTGATCAGACAATAATTTTTGTTTAGTTAATAGCCATTTCAAACAAAATTCATTTTGATTTCATTTTAAATCAACCTTTTTCATCACATTAATTTTAGTTTTGAGAATGATTTGTATTCATTTTAGGTAAACCTTGTGCACCTGAAGGTCATGGTTATGTGATGGCAGATGGATTTATTCACGCTGAAGTGACAGCAAGTATGTTTAATGTTTCCATCATTAAATTTATTTTAGGTAAATCTTTTTTCGCCTGAAGGTCCTGATTACATGATGGCAGATGGTTTAATCCAACCTGAAGAAACAGGAAGTATGTTTAATATTTCTTTGATTAAATTAACAAATTTCATACATATTCCATTTTCAAAAATTTTATTAATATTCCTTTTTTTCAAAATTTATTCACATCATGAAATTTCTGTTTTTTTTTCAGTTTGTAAATAGATATAAGAAGATGTGGTATGAGTGCCAATGAGACAACTCTCCATCCAAGTCAAAATTTATAAAAGTAAACCATGACATGTCAAAGTGAGGTCTTCAACACGGAGCCTTGGCTCACACCGAACAGCAAGCTATAAAGGGCCCCAAAAATTACTAGTGTAAAACCATTCAAACAGGAAAACCAACGGTCTAATCTATATAAAAAAAGAAGAAACAAGAAACACTTATGAACCACATCAACAAACGACAACTACTGAACATCAGATTCCTGACTTAGGACAGGTGCAAACAATTGCAGCGGGTTTAAACGTTTTAATGGTACCAAACCTTCACCCTTATCTGAAACAATAGTGTAACATCACAACATAGAAAGACACACTATAAAGTATCAATTGAAATGGCTTAGCTCAATCAAAAGACATATTAACACCAGTGAACATACACTGTAAGTCTTTTTTGCCTAAATGTTAATTGTTTTGAGAACATCATTGAAATATAGATCTTTAAAATGATCATTTCCTGCAGACACAATCATCTTAAGTTATGATTTCTGACCACAATAATTAAAAGTAAAACATGAAACGAGTGTCCAATGATTTGACAAACTACAAAATGTTGGCAAGGTGACCACATTGACCCAAATTTTGGCTCACACCGAACAGCAAGTTATAAAGGGCCCCAAAAATTACTAGTGTAAAACCATTCAAACAGGAAAACCAACGGTCTAATCTATATAAAAAACGAGAAACAAGAAACACTTATGAACCACATCAACAAACGACAACTACTGAACATCAGATTCCTGACTTAGGACAGGTGCAAACAATTGCAGCGGGTTTAAACGTTTTAATGGTACCAAACCCTTATCTGAAACAATAGTGTAACATCACAACATAGAAAGACACACTATAAAGTATCAATTGAAATGGCTTAGCTCAATCAAAAGACATATTAACACCAGTGAACATACACTGTAAGTCTTTTTTGCCTAAATGTTAATTGTTTTGAGAACATCATTGAAATATAGATCTTTAAAATGATCATTTCCTGCAGACACAATCATCTTAAGTTATGATTTCTGACCACAACAATTAAAAGTAAAACATGAAACGAGTGTCCAATGATTTGACAAACTACAAAATGTTGGCAAGGTGACCACACTGACCCAAATTTCATCAATATTCCAGTTTCAAAAATTGTTTACCTCATGAAATATCCTTTTTTAGCTCACCTGGCCCGAAGGGCCAAGTGAGCTTTTCTCATCACTTGGCGTCCGTCGTCCGTCGTCCGGCGTTGTCCGTCGTCGTCGTTAACTTTTTACATTTTGAACTTCTTCTAGAGAACCACTGAATGGAATGAAACCAAACATGGCATGAATGTTCCTTATGAGGTGCTGACCAAGTGTTGTTACTTTGTAGCGGATCCATCATCCAAGATGGCCGCCAGGGGGGGACTTAGTTTAACATAGGACCCTATTGGAAATACATACAAATGTCTTCTTTTAGAGAACCAGTGAATGGAATGAAACGAAACATGGCATGAATGTTTCTTATGAGGTGCTGACCGAGTGTTGTTACTTTGAAGCCGATCCATAATCCAAGATGGCCGCCAGCGGGGGAATTAGTTTAACATATGACCCTATGGGAAATAAATACAAATGTCTTCTTTTAGAGAACCAGTGAATGGAATGAAACGAAACATGGCATGAATGTTTCTTATGAGGTGCTGACCGAGTGTTGTTACTTTGAAGACGATCCATAATCCAAGATGGCCGCCAACGGGGGAATTAGTTTAACATAGGACCCTATGGGAAATACATTCAAATGTCTTCTTTTAGAGAACCACTGAATGGAATGAAACCAAACATGGTATGAATGTTCCTTATGAGGTGCTGACAAAGTGTTGTTACTTTGAAGCTGATCCATCATCCAAGATGGCCGCCAGCGGGGGACTTAGTTTAACATGGGACCCTATGGGAAATACATACAAATGTCTTCTTTAGAGAACCACTGAATGGAATGAAACCAAACATGGCATGAATGTTTCTTATGAGGTGCTGACCGAGTGTTGTTACTTTGAAGACGATCCATAATCCAAGATGGCCGCCAACGGGGGAATTAGTTTAACATAGGACCCTATGGGAAATACATTCAAATGTCTTCTTTTAGAGAACCACTGAATGGAATGAAACCAAACATGGTATGAATGTTCCT